CGCTGCGGTGGCCAGGAGCGGCCACTGCACTCCAGTCTGGGCGACAGAATGAGACTCCAACTCAAAAAAAAAAAAAAAAAAATTAGGCGTGGTAGCGTGCTCCTGTAGTTCCAGCTGCTTGGAAGGCTGAGGCAGAAAGATCGCCAGAGCCCAGCAGGTCAACACTGGGGTGGCTGTGAGCATGCCACTGCCCTTCCAGTCTGGGCAATGGAATGAGACTCCCGCTCAAAAAAAAAAAAAAAAAAAAAGACCAGCCTGGGCAACAAAGTGAGACCCTGTCTCTGCAAAAAATAGAAAAAATTAGCTGGGTTTGGTGGCATGTACCTGTAGTTCCAGCTTCTTGGGAAGCAGAGGCAGGAAAATCGCTTGAGCCCAGGAGTTTGAGGCTGCAATGAGTCTCAAAAATAAAATTAAAAAATGAAATACAAATTTGACCACATCTCTCCCACATTTCAAACCTTGGAAAGTTCTTCCTTTTCCTTATCATCTGGCTATTCTTCACCTTTCAGGTTCTAGATTAAAAGTCACTTCTATCAGGAAAAGTGTTTCCTGACACCTCTGGACTCATTTAGGCACTACTACCTGACTGTATGTGTCCATGGTATCATGTACTCTTCCATCCTGTCTGCCTTCACAGCCCTGTTGTATGTGATTGTTTCTTATCTGTCTGTCTGCCCCACAACAGTATAAACTCCTTGGAAACAGGGAACATGGTGATTTTGCTTATTATTGTATCCCTAGCCACTACCACGTGCTTAGTACATAGTAGAGGCTTTATAAGTATTTGGATGAGTAAATGAATGAACCAGCTAGTCACAAGTGATTACTATTTGCCATACACAAGAAGTTCAATTAGAACTTGAACACTGGTGACCCGCATACATGTTAGGTGCATGTAACAGAACACCATGTAAACCAGTGAGAATAGAGGAATTTACTTATACAGATAGAGGGATGTTTCACAGAATTCAAGGGTAGGAAGTACAGGCCAGCCTCATGAGAGAGTGGAAGCAGTGGATCTGATTGGACCATTTTGGGTCAAGAGGCTTCCTCCAACCCAATCAGCTAAGGCTAGCAAGTTAAGGTGCTTTAGTTCAAACATGTCTGGAATCTATCCTTGAAGTTTAGAGAGTGGGAACAGTTTCCATAGAAGAGGATTTATGAACTAGGCAGACAGCCCCCAAAGTGTCTACTACAGAACTTCTTGGAGGTTGACAACATTTCCTTTATTTTATTTTATTTGTGTATTTAATTCATTCATTCATTTATTGATTGTCAGACTCTCACTCTGTCGCCCAGGCTGAAATGCAGTGACAAACTCATGGCCACCACAGCCTCGACCTGCTGGGTTCAGGCAATCCTTCTGCCTCAGCCTTCCAAGTAGCTGGAACTACAGGCATGCGCCACCATGCCTGGCTAATTTGTCTTGATTTATTGTAGAGACAAGTACTCACCAAGTTGCTGATCTTAAACCCCTGGTTCAAGCAATCCTCTTGTCTCCGCCTCCCAAAGTGCTGGGATTATAGGCTTGAGCCTCCATGCCCAGCTGACAACATTTCCTTTAAATGATTCAGTGGTTGTTCATTTGTGCTTTTGCCCTCTCCTAATGACCCTTTCCAAGTTTACCAACCAATATAAACAATTGGCAGTCCAATCTAGAACCTGGGTGAAATGTTTTCTAGGAAAACACCAGTGGGATTTAGCCACCTGTGAGGGCCTCTTGCCCCGGTATGAGCATGCCAGCTTCATTCCTTCCTGCACACCTGACAGTATCTGGGTATTTGGAGGTGCCAACCAATCAGGAAATCGAAATTGTCTACAAGTCCTGAATCCTGGTAAGTAACCAAAGGTTATTGTATTTACATACATACATATAAACATTCATGCTTACATACAGAAATACAATTATAATTCCAGTACATTTGGATTACATTGGTTAACCCATTTCAACTTTGTTGACATTATAGAAAATAGGAATTTGAACTTTTAGCAGAATCTGAAAATAACAATAAAATTTTCTTTTTGGTAAGATGTACAATTATCAACTCATTAAATGTCAAAGCTGAGCCGGGCTCGGTGGCTCAGCCTGTAATCCCGCGCCTTTGGGAGGCTAAGGTGAGTGGATTGCCTGAGCCTGCGGGTTCGAGACCCGCCTGGGCAGCGAGACCTCATCTCTACAATAAATCAAAAAATGAGCCGGGCGTGGTAGCGCACGCCTGTAATTCTGGCTACTTGGAAGGCTGAGCCAGAAGGATCGCCAGAGCCCAGCAGGTCAAGGCTGCGGTGGCCGGGAGCAGCCACTGCACTCCAGTCTGGGCGACCGAGTGAGACTCCAACTCAAAAAAAAAAATGTCAAAGCTGGATCAGACTTCAGAGAACTGCTATGCCAAGTGGGCAACTCAGGGTTATCGAGGGGAAGTGACTTTCCTAAAGTCACTAGGGAGTCAGTGACTGAGCCAGGCTAAAATCCAAGGTACCTAGATTAGTAGTTTCCTAGTGGGGTGATTGTGGCCCCTCAGGGGACCATTTGTCCATATCTGGAAACATTTTGGGTTATCACAACGGAGGTGAGGTGTGTTACTTGCTTTTAGTGGGTAGAGACCAGAGATAATGCTATACATCCACTAATGCCCAGGAAGCTCTTACAATAAAGAATTATCTAGTCTAAGCCATCAATAGTTCCAAAGTTAAGAAACCCTGACCTAGATCCTCCTAGTGTGTTTCTTTTAGACAAAAAGCACAAAGTTCCTGACTGGTTTCACTGGCAGTTTTATCATAGAGGAAGCAGTTTGGTAACATCACTACTGAGAAGAGGTTGCTAAACTACCCATGGGAGATGGACTTTTTCTTTCTTTCTTTCTTTCTTTCTTTCTTTCTTTCTTTCTTTCTTTCTTTCTTTCTTTCTTTCTTTCTTTCTTTCTTTCTCTTTCTCTCTCTCTTTCTTTCTTTCTCTCTTTTTCTTTCTCTCTTTTTCTTTCTATCTCTTTTTCTTTCTCTCTTTCTCTCTCTCTCTCTTTCTTTTTCTTTCTCTCTCTTTCTCTCTCTCTCTCTTTCGTTCTCTCTTTCTTTCTCTCTCTCTTTCTCTCTTTCCTTCTCTCTTTCTCTCTTTCTCTTTCTTTCTCTCTCTCTCTCTTTCTTTCTTTCTTTCTTTCTCTCTCTCTCTCTCTCTCTCTCTCTTTCTTTCTTTCAAGTTGGAGTCTCACTCAGTCACCCAGGCTAAAGTGCAGTGGTGTGCTCATGACCACTGCTGCCTCAACCTGCTGGGTTCAAGTTATCCTTCCACCTCAGCCTTCCAAGTAGCTGGGATTACAGGCATGAGCCACTGTGCCTAACTTCTTTCTGTCATTTTATTTATTTATTTATTTATTCATTTTTATTTATTTATTTTGAGTCAGAGTCTCACTCTGTCGCCTAGGCTGGAGTGCAGTGGCACGCTCACAGCCACCAAAATCTCAACTTACTGGACTCAGGCCATCCTTCTGCTTCAGCCTTCCAAGTAGTTGAAACTACAGGCATGCACCACCATGCCCAGCTAATTTTTTTATTTATTGTAGAGACAAGGTCTCCCCATGTTGCCCAGGCTGGTCTCGAACTTGCGGGTCTCCCAAATTGCTGGGATTGCAGGTGCGAGCCACTGTACCCAGTACTTTCTGTCATTTTTTAAAAGTTTTGTTTTTCTAGCCGGGCTCAGTGGCTCAGCCTGTAATCCCGCGCCTTGGGAGGCTGAGGTAAGTGAATTGCCTGAGCCTGCGGGTTCAAGACCCGCCTGGGCAACTTGGTGAGACCTCATCTCTACAGGA